TACTCTAAATATTTTCATTCCACCACCACAATTCTTTATCTCTAGACCCAAAACTTTTGGATTCTCCTAACATCTCTTTAGCTACTTTCTTATCTATTGAGTCACGTTGTTCCACATATCATTTTCATGTCATTGTGGGTGCTCAGAACCTCCCTCTAAGATCTTGTGTTGAAAACTCTCTGGTTTTTCATCCTTCGCATGCACCACTTGATTCGTGGAGTCTCATGTGACTTCTTGTCTTCGCCCTCTTCTTGACTCTTACATCCATAACTATTACTTTATGATGGGTAGTCAAGCTCTCTCCTGATATAACTTTATAGTCCAAGCAAGTATTTATATTTGACATCCTAATAAGAAATAATCTATCTGAAGAACATGTCATCTCACTCTTATATTAGGCGCGTGAAATGGATTTCCTCTTAACCGTAGAGTCTATTATTTCTATAGATTTTTTAATAAATGTACATATATTTCATATTCTAAAATAAATCAAACTCTCATAACTAACTTCTTTACGCACACCTATTCACGAAAATGTAGGAATTCTTACTTATTTTTCATTTCACATAGGTGATAATGCATTGGCCCTGCTCCATTGACATTGTACTCCGAGCCATACAATTTATTTTTATTTTTTTAACGGATAACGACCTAGCATTTTCATTATTACGTAATTGATCAATAACAAAGAGATTAGACAAAATTTTATGTTACTCGTCGAGTGTCTAATCCAACTCTGTTGTCTTATATGGATTTGGAAGTGACTATGTATAGCAATACTATATAGGATTGTTTATTTTTAAGACCATTGATTTTATATATTTACATTACACACGGTTATAGATTTCCTTTAAGTTCCAAAACAAATAACGACAATGGGGCATTGTAATAATTTGACTAAGAATAGTCAATTGATCAATAAACTCTCGGTTTTAATTATTCAAAAGAAATTAATTTCTGTACAGTGTATACAAAAATAAAAAAGAAGAGCTATGAATCTATAAGAAATCATCATAATTGAATGAAAGAATTGTTAAGTTAGATTAAAAATATGAAACTTAGAAAAGCTTGCTAGCAAATTCATCAACTTTAGTTCCCTCTACACGAGAGTAAGCTGATTTTGAACCAAGATCTCTCAACTGTGACAAACTTCTTCCTAATTTCAAAGCCAACTTAATTTCAAAACAACTCTCCATTCTCTCTTTGTTCTCATCTTCCTCCAATATATTCTCTGAATTGAATTTTCCATCATTTGGAAGAATCCACCGCAGTTTCTATACATCTCAGAAACCATCCCAACTTGTCCGCCATGCTCAAAAGAATTAACAGCTGTAGCTAATGCTCCAGCCATAACAGGTACTATAGATGTCCACGAACCTTGGCCAAACAAAAGTGGACCCCACAGCTGCAATTCCAGTTAGTAAAGGCCCTGCAATTGCCAATGTTTTGTTAACCTTCAACACCAAGTTTCCTAATCTCTCATAATCTTCCATGTCTTTTCTCTTCATAACTTCTAACACATCTTTACTTCACTTTCTAACCCTTCATTCCATCCATTTTTCTTCCAACCTTTTTCTTTTTGTTTCATTATTTTGCCTGTTGCTTCTTCTAGGTGAGTTTTTTGCAGGGCCACCAATTTGCAGGTTCATATTTCTGAGGAAATTTTTCAATCATGACACCCAACAAAGGAAGTGGATAAGCTCTGTCAAGTGCTAAAACTTTGTTGATTGTATCTTTATATACTTGTCTGTCGGGATTGCCTAATGCGATTGTGGTTTCGATGTGGGACTTAAGCTGTTTGAATAATCTTGTTGCATTTCTTTGCTCCTCAGCTAGTTGTGAAGGTTGGATTTTGTTCATGATGACTAACATACCAGTTGAAGCGGAGAACAAAGTGCGGAAGATAGTTTGAGGGCTAAAAGGGAGGCGCCGGAGCCGCTTATGGCTGCGATACCTGCCCATGGCGGAGGCGGTGAGAGTGATCATGTTGATGGAGTTTAATAGAAGGGTGTTCCAGTTGTCGCGTTGTTGGGCAATGTTTTGATGCATTTCTATTCTGTCCGGAAACGGATTCTAGAACTGCATAGAGTTGAGTAATGGTTTTTGTTTTAGAGGAGGAGAAAGAGAGGATTTATTGGATGAGTGGAAAATCATTTTGTTGGTGATAATTGGGATCTGTGTGTGTGAGTTGACCGTTCAGTTCCTCAACTAGCTTTCTACTTGGCCTTGTTCTTCGGAGCTATGGAAATGATTTTAGGGAGTTTTGGGACATGGAAAGAGGATTTGATGATTGTTTCTGAAGAAGAAAGAACAGATGAAACATGTAAAGAAGCCATGTTATGTGATCAAAGTCAGATAGATGTTTGTGTTGTTGTTGGTTGTTGTTTGTGTTGAAGATGTTTGTTTGTTGTTTGTGTTGAAGATGTTGCTGTGTGTTGTAATATATAGAAGCTAATAATGTGTGAACAAGAAGAGAATTGGTCAGGTAGGGAAACTGTTGACTGGGTGTTACTAGTGACTTTTCTGGTTATTTCATTTTTCATTGAATAAATTGAAGTCTTACTGTTCAAATATTTTCATCTCCCACTCGGTCGTTTGGTATGGATACGCTGTTATAAATTACGACTCAGTTTATGTTAACTGCGACATCAAAATTCAAGGGTTTTTCATTGCTAGTGGTTGGTATATTTTGAGTAAACTATACATGCTGTTTACCAAAATGGTTTATTATTATCATTGTTGACCAAAATGTCAGATACTATAATGTAAGATTTACATTCACAGCTGCTCATACGTAATTCAATATATTAAATTTCACCATATGCTGACATTTTGTCTTTTTAGTGTTATCGAGTTAACTGTTTTCTTTTTATTCTAAATTTGTTAAATCTTAGTAATTTTAATTTTATTTCTTCTTAATAAATATATAAAACCAACTTAGATAAAAAAATATTTCTACGATAAGATGTATGAATAATGAGAATGTCATTTGGATTTCTCTTATTAAGTTGATTGTTATTGTATAAGGTCGGTCCAACAATTTAATAAAACCGATCTAATTCGAGTGATTCAGTTAAGGAAACTTTTATTCGAAAGACGAACGGATGGATCTAAGTTTTAAGGTCGCACACCGGATTCAAACCGCTTGTTCATCACTAATTGTCATATCTAATAAGACGGTCTCCTGCACCTCATGCTAAGTCGAGCGAGAGTGATTTTAACTGCTCGTTGTATATAAGTCCTGTCACGCGCCATAAATAAGTATTCATTCATTCACTCTTGTAACGTTATATTTCTTTGACCTCACTAACTTGAGCGTTGGAGTGTTAACCTTGTAGGTATACCTCTGCTCCACTCTGTCGAAACACTACTACGAAAAACACATATAACAACGGTTGTGAAAGACCTATAATAACGTTTAAACAACTGTTGTTATGTAAGGTGTGGTTGTAAGTGAATTATTTACAATCATTGTGTTTTGCTCGTGATAGTAAACTGGATAGCGTGTTACGTACAACCACGGTTGTATTTGTTGGAATAATATAGCAAGGTGAGTAAGTGGTGAAATAGTTCCACATTGGATAGGAATGTGGAGACTTAAGCATATATAAGTGGGAGAACCCACTCACCTATCAACTTAAAGTTTTAGGTGGAGAAGTGGTGTGTCTCTCACAAAGGTGATTAGATCTCACGTCCTCTCGTAGGGAAAGCTATTATGATCCTTGTAACATCTACAACTGCCTCATCTCCTCCGTATCCAATCCTTCCATCTTTTTTCCGAGGCACTTTCCTGGTCTCTCTGACCTTCCAACCTTTCCAACAGCTACTTCAAAGCCAAACCTCTAAACAACCTCATCCTCAAGTGTAAACTTTTGAACCAGAAATGTTCTAGATCTTCCAACAACTTCAAGCCATTATATTTATGCAAGGATAAAATTAACTAATCACCAACATTTACAACTTAGTGCAACATCAAAATTCAAACCTCATAGTAGAAAGGCTCTTAGTCTCTTATGAGCATAAGAGAATCAACAAGTTGCTCCACTTTAGGTCACTCTTAACAAGAAGTAGCACGGCGCAGTAATTTCATAGTCGGCACCCACGATTCCCAGTAGTAAGTCGTCGGCATATCGCACATAACAAATCCTTATGAAATAATGGTTTTTTTTATTTTTAAGGGGGCCAATTTACGGGCCATACCTCTCTCTGACCTGATAACTAGTCTCGCCTCCCCGCCCATTAAAGGTTATCAGTGACACCACAGTTATACACTGGTGAATCCCTGGATCACCACAACTTTGTATGTCTTGATCTTACCATTATTTGCCTCAGGAATCCATTAAAGGAGGCAGAAGTCGCACTCCCTAAAGGTCTCTGACATTAAAGATATTTGTCTCATCATTCTTAGGAAATGAATGGACAAGGTATGGAAGCTCGGGCTCATAGCCAGAAAAGAAATTTGTTCTCTAGGAACATGCTTGACAATAAGATCCCGAAATCCCTTGAAAAACCACCAAAGTTGGCTAGCTACTACAGGACTATGAATTCAGATGAGCATCTTGAACACTTGGTCAATATGTTTGATTATCACCATACAGGAGGAAGGTGATGTGCTTATTGTTCGTCCTGGTCCATAAATGAGTTGTGATGACGTGTTTTAAAACCTTATTTGATGCTTATCTTAACTCTTGAAAGAAATAGTGTGACGAGGTCATATCTCAGTTTACATCGTAAAAGCAGTAGCCTAAGTAAATAATCATTCTCAGTGAAATCCAATAGAAGAAGAAAGACACCCTATGAGAATATATTCACAAGTTCACAAAGGTAGAGTTTGTACTAGGCGGATCAAACGACATGTTAAAGTATTAGATCTTTGAAAAGGGTTTGAGGACAAACCACATCTTCTGTGAGAAGTTAGGGATATAATGCGCCAAAATCATGAGTGGCATGTTTACTAGGGCCCGACCGTATATAAATTACATAGAAAAAATTCTAGCGAAAGAGATGGAGAGGAATAGATGATCAACTTACGACGGTAAAAACCGACCCAAAAGTATTTTACTATTTCTTAGGAGAAAGAGTGATATGGCGTTAAAAATCGATTCAAAAGTGCTTTTTATGCAATTGTGATTTTTTTTTTAATTTTCTTATATCATACTCTTCACATGTCATAAAACAAAAGAGTTGATAAAATGTGAGTCAAAAATCACTTATTCAATAAACAAGAGAGTAAAATATCTGATACTTGTTATTTGAAACAATTTGGATAAATTCTGGTGGTTTTGAATACACCATGCTTAATTACCTTATGTCTTACACCAACGGAGGTTCTAACACTAATAAACTTAGAATCAGTTGGAATAACACTCGTTGGTTTGAATGGAGAACTTTGCTTCACATGAGGAGCTGGCTTCACAAGAGGGGTTGGATTCATAGGAGAGGTTAGCTTCACATGGCAGGTTACATGTGGGTTTCACATGAGAGGTTGGCTTCACAAGAAATGTGGGCTTCATACGAGGGATTGGATTCATAAGTTTTGTATCAATAATAACAACGAATTTCTTATTTCATCTCATATCCAAAAGAAAGACCGTTTGCAATTTCGAAAATGCCTCTTGAAAATAGGAAATGAATTTTCGGTTCGCACCATATATTACAAAAACAGGCTAAATGTGATTTCATCTTTCAAAATGTAAAAAACAAAATCAGAGGTATACCTCCGATTTTGTACCGGTATTATGTTTCCGGTTTTTAGAGCGGGAACATTGATTTTTTTTCCACCTTGTCACTTCGTATACATTCGGAAGTATATTTCTGGTATTATGGGAGATTCATAATGCTTAAAATAGTAACCAGCATTGTCAATTTTTGATCAAACCATTTTCTTCTTTCCATAAAACCTCTAAAAAACCCTTCCATTCTCAATCTATTTTTCCACTCTAAATATTCATTTTTATGGTTCACCATATCAAAAGGAGTTCAAGGAAGTGGAATTTAAGGTAAATTTTATTCATTTCAATCCTTATTCCTTATTGTACATCCCTAAAATAATAAGCCCTACTGGGTAGTGTAACCGGCAAGGGAAAAGGATAAACCAGTAGTCGACTTAGGGTGAGGGTTCCCGGGGTGTAACTCGCTAAAGGAGTATTAGACGACTCATGGACTTAGGTAGAAACTCACCCTCACCCTCGACCCAGATAATGTAGATAATCGGGTAGCACCTGCCCATAACTGATCATCATCTCGACTCATTAAAGCTCGTAACCTCCAACAGCGCATTCATTACTACGTTACACAATGCTAATCATTTTTATTCTTGGAGACGGTCGTGGTTATACAGTTATAGAACTCAAGAGTCACTCATTAACTGAGGCTCTTAAAAAAGCAAAGATACTCACTATATAAAGGGGCTTCCGACAGAGTGATAAGTAAGACATTCATCTTGGAACGCACGCATCACTGACATGACTCCCAAATCCCTCAACCATCGCATAAACTCACTCTGGTAGGCTCTCTCTAGCAACTTCTTGGGAAGTCGGCCGGATATTTGTTCCAGACAGGATTATTGGCGCCCACTGTAATATGCTGATTTTAATTTAGTATTATTTAATTAATTTATTAATTAGTATATTACATAATAATTAATTTAATTGTGTAATTTGGTGAATATTTGAATTATTTGAATATATGTGTTATTTGAATAACTGGGTTTATGAGTAAGAATAGAAAATAATTAGAATTGGACTTTATGTCATAATAGAATGGAAAAGTGGAATTAGGCCCATTAATGAAATAGAGTAGTAAGAAGAGGGATTAAAATTAGTATTGTCATAAAACAAAAACAAAAAACAAATAATAGAAGAGAAGAGAAGATAAGAGGAGAAAGAGGAGAAAAGAGGAAAAGTGAAGAGGAAACCCTAAAGACTCTACACTTAAGGTAAGGGTGAAAATCCATATTATTATGGGAGTATATGATGGGTAGTAACATGTAATAGAATTGAGTATGTGAATTTCTAGGTTTTGAATCACCCAAATTGATTTAGGGATTTAGAAATCAGGTTTTTGAAATCTAGTTTTTATGATATAAATATGTTCCCTGGGATATATACATGCTAGAATATGTTTACTTAGTGAAAAATGGGCATTAGAACTTGTCTCTATGGGGATTGCTATATAAAACGCGAGGAGAGCAACCTGGAAAAAGGACCAGAGATGCCCTTGAGAGAAACAAGACAAAAGAAGAAGGATAGGGAAGGAAACATGAGTCCTCCCAGAGGAACTCAAGAGACAGGCCCCGAGAACACACGACTCAGAGATCTAACTGGCGTCCCTTTGA